TCAGGGCCACGGGGCTGCATCAGGACCACTGGGCTCAGGGCCACTGGGCTAGATCAGGACCATGGAGCTGCATCAGGACCACTGGTCCTTGGGCTGCCAGTTGCTTAGTCTGTCGTCTTGGGCAGTTCATCTTGTCTCTGGGCCTTTGTTTTCTTAAGTATAGTCATGTGGCCGTGATCCTTCTGTGTCACTGTCTAGTAACTTCTGGTAAGAAAGGAGGTTAGAGATGGCTGTAGAAGCAGATATTCACATTGTCTTTGAAGAACCTAATAAGATGTCTCTGAAATCCTAAGGATAAGGGAAAGAGGTTTCTGCCTTGGCATTTTCCATTTCCTTTCCTACTTTACACTTTTCCCTTTTCTCCTTGATTTGTTTCAGTTATGAAAAACACAAGTAATGATTCATGCTAAACCAAACTTTCAATGCTAACTACTTACAAGGCACTCAGAAATAGTTAAAAGATACAGAAGTGTTAAAAGCCCATAGCCCACTCCCATGAAGCTCACCACATAATCTTGTTCTAAAGCTTATGAGATAGGTGCAAACTTATGTCCCGGAAGGATGCATAGCATGAAATCCAGCAGAAGGCTCTGCCTTAAACTGGGTATCAACTAAGAGGAAGAAAACTTTGTTATTCCCCATACCAGGAAGGTGTCTGTGTCTCCAGGAGGTGTATCAGTTGGTGATAGAACAGTAAAGCTATAACATTTCACTTGGGAACACCTTGCTTTGTGGACGTCCTGGTCTGTCACCTTAGTGTCTCCAGAAGTTCTGATGTTTTTCACATCCCCACATTACCCTTTATATTTAAGAGGCTTAGTGATGTATCATCCAACAAACTTGGGGGTGGTATTCCAGGAACACTTCTATGCAGTGTGACAGTGATTGATGGGATATAAATTTTTTGCATGTGAAATTGGGTAGAACACTCAGGCAGTCCTGTGTCTCAGTAGCTAGCCAATGTGCTAATTCGTTAATCAGGAAAATACCTTATCTTGATGAATTGTTGGTATTGTTTTTCCTTTATCTCAGGTAAAATTAAGAGGTAAAAAGTAGAAGTTTATTACTCTTAAGTTTTTGTTGTTATAAAACTTTTATTTTGGAAGAAGGAAGGGGCCATCCACTTCACAAAGAATTGGCCAGTGAAAAACTTGTGAGTTATTTCACACAGAAATGAGTAATAGCAATTCTGTGGGCTCACTGACTCATGCGGAATTGTGTTCTGCCCTGTGTCTAGGTGCTGCAAAGTTGGTGGTGGCTGTGGCAGTATTTTTACTGATGTTTTATGTTATATCTCAAGTATTTGAAATAAAAATGGATGCAAGTTTAGGACATCTATTTGGTAAGTTTCATCTTTTTTTGTTTCACCTTTCTTAACTCTCGTTTTTTATGTGATCATGTTTAAATTTTTACCAGTTCTCAACAGTGAGTCACTCTGCTGTTCAATCTATCTAGAAAAGGGAATACAATTATATCAGTGTGATTCATTAAACTATTCTAAAATATATAATAGGATGTCTTAGAAGTTTCTGTAAAGCATGCATCTTCTGTTCAGCTTTTATGGGGTCTATTTTACCCATATTTTGAGACATTAATCATAACACACTAAATGTGTTCTAGAAGATACCTTACCCTGAGTTTCAATTGCTCCTTATATGAGCTGGCTGCTAGAATACTTGGGGCCACATCTAGCCCTCTGTTAGCAAATGATTAGGAATCAAAATAATGAATACTAACAAAACACAGACATCGAACTTAACTTTTCTACCCTTTCTTCCCTCTGCCA